TTAAATTTTGTTTTTCAATTTTATGTGTTTGTTGTTGGGAAAAGAGAAAAGGAAGTGATGATAGAAATTCATGGTCTGTCAATCCACTGATATTATTTGATGTTACTCATGAATCTCGACAGGTTCTGATCCTTTTCTCCCCCCACCCACACCCATTTTTAACTTTTATAGTTTTAAAATGATTTTGATTTTAATTAAATCATTAGTGTTTATGAAATTTGTGTTGTTATTGCTAGAATTTAATTCTAGATTAACTAAGTTTTAGTTTTTTATATAAAAAATTCTATTTGATTTAGAAAACTTTTGATGGAATATCTTATAGATTTTTTCTGGGAGTTTAATTGTACGTGATAATATGATAAATATCTAAACTGATTAACATTGCTGGGAGAAGTAAATTGTGGATCTGGACATAGTTGAGTTCCTTAAACCTTGCAGAGTTCCAAACAATCTATATAATTGCACCAAAGAGAGCCACTAGATAATCATCTTGTCTGCAAAAATTTACTTAAAATGTTGAGTAAGCTGAGAAACAGCCGTTCAGGGCTTTCCTCTTATACAATTTATCTTGTATATGGCGATAAGACTATGATTTAAGATATTGAACAAATCCACCTATATAGTGGTCATAGTGCAGTTCCTGGTCACTAAACAGAGGCTTCATTTCCCTAGCTTTGGCCCTCACGCTTTTGCCTTCTTCATTTACCATAGCGATTCTCAGAGCCTTTGCAATGTCTTCACCTTTAAAATTTCCTTCATCTGTTCTGTCAACTTCAATTGCTAATCCCTTCTCAAGCAGCAGTCTAGCATTTAGTCCCTGATCAATCACCAAAGGCAACACCACTAGGGTATGACCATGTTGGAGGGTTTCTATGATTGACCCCCATCCAGAGTGAAACAATGACCCACCAATTGATGGATGTGCTAGAATATCCAGTTGTGGAACCCAACCCAAAATCACCATCCCTATGTGCCCAGTCCGACTTCCAAAACCAGACGGTAAAGCATCATCATCATCGGTGGCCCACGTCGGCTTTCTTAAGGCCCATAAAAATGGAAGGTCTGCAAGCTCGAGTCCTCGGGCTATTTCATAAACTTGGTCTCTATTCAATTTGACTTCACTCCCAAACCCAACATACACCACAGACTTGTTTTTCTGCTGATCAAGCCACTTGAATATTTCACCTTCACTGGTTTCTTTCTTCTTCTCTGGTAGTACTGGAGGAAGAAATCCAACTGGAATAACAGGTTTTTCATAAACTGTCTGGAATACATCCAAGTATCCGCCTTCGAATTCTGTGCAACTCTTGGAAGCAATAGCTTGGCATCCTTGAACCACTTTTGCTATTCTTTCAATATCAGTCATAACGGAAGCATTTTTAACAAAGGCTCCGGCAAAGAGTGGTTTGGCTTCAAATGATTTGAAAGCAATTGTTGAAGGAAAAGTCATCCACTCTGGTGGGGATGTCAGAGTTTCCCACGAAGACCTTTGTTTATTTGGATTACCAATAAAAGCCCATAAAACTGAACAAAACACAGAGAACCAGATTTGTCGAATACCATATTCTTTTGCAATATCAACAACCCAATATGATGCAAAATCTTGAATAATCCAATCAATGGATTCAACTGACAGAAAGCTCTTAAACTCGGTCTCCAACATATCGTAGGCCTTCTTCAAGAATTGAATTTCTTCCATTGAAATATCAACAGTAGCTTCAGCACCTTCTGGTAAGCCATCAACAACTGGCAACTTGAACTCAACAAATTTAAAAAGATGGTTCAAGTTTGTAGGAATTGTAGGTAGTCTTGTAATGTTTTTTGGAGTGGTAATGAAAGAGACTCTAATGCCTTGTTTAGCTAAAGCAATAGAAAGTTGGTAAAAAGGAATCATATGGCCAAATGCAAACCATGGAAGCATCACTACATGAAGACACTTGCTGCTAGCAGCCATATTGTTGCTTGATGTACTGATGAGATGCAAACTGCAAATTCTATATATATATGAACAAGTGCAGGCCATGAGAGTCAAAAAGTGTCGGCAAAGCTAGCTAGCACATCATCATCACATGCGTCAACTTTCTAATATTTTTTTCCTGTCTAATTATTAATTAACGACGGATGTTTTCCCATGATTAAATTAATCTGATT